AAAAAAAATATTCAATACCTTAAATAAATTAATTAATGTGCCGTAGTCGCTTTTGACGCCACGCGCGAATCCTAAAAATGTCACGCACAGACCTATTTTCAGCGTTAAATTAAAGTTATAAATAATGGAGATAGAGTTCCGGGAGCTGAGAGTTTTTTATTGGAAATTTCCTCCTCTTTCAGAATCTTTATTTGAAATTTCTTAAATATTAATAGTTTATTAAATATTGGCAAAAACTAAATTCCATTTTTTTTCATCTTTAATGGTCTATAACTTTTGCAATTTTTTATGTGCTAATACACGCTTTTAGCACATTTTTCTAGGCGTCATTCCGGTTCGAATGAGCTATCGCACATAATTTTAAGAGCAGTATCTCTATTTTGTTCCATTTTCAACTTGTCGACTAGACTAAGAAATACATTTTAAAGCTACATTTCCTAGACGAGTTTCATTAGCATATCTAATTTGAACCCGACTCTCATTTGTCCGATCGTTAGTTTTATCTCGAGAAAAGTGCAACAGTTTAGTTTTTTCTCGTTTAGCGAATTGGTAGCTATAGAATTGCAGAAGGTACTTTCGCTGAAGTTCGTTTAGAATGTTCATAAGCTTTTTGCTAAGAGCTTATTTCTTGTACAAGGTTAATAATTTATTCAGTGCCGCGTTCTATAAATTCTAAAGCATTTTTCTATTTTTTATTTATCTGTACATCAATACATAATTAAATAATTGATATAGTTCGTAACTGAGTTATATTTTGAACTATTAAGTATTTTTATTAATATAATTAATTGTATTTATTTTTTCGTACAGGACGTTTCAGTTTTTTAAATAATAAACAGAATTACTCAATACTCATTAAATTTAAGCACTTCAGAATAATATTACTAACGAAATGCGGTAGAATAATCTTTTGACTTTGTGATGAAATTCAAAAAACTTGGACAAAAAGTTTATTTTGTGCTTAATGCCGTGCTAATGAGCCATACTAAAATAACGTTTTAGAATAATATTACGTTGAAACGTGAATTGGCAGATAGAATAACCTCATTATGATGAAACTGGAGGACATTGTTAGGGTTAGTTCATAATTGTGTAATAGTTCTTTGAATTAATTTCAATATGTCAGCGTGTTTGGGTATCTCAACTTCTACGTTAAGCTTTTGAACCCTGACAACTCGGGCCTTTATGAAATTAAATATTTAATATCCAAATAAGGATAGGAGTTTTAATTGAGATCCAAATTGGACATTGGATTTTTTGGGCGCTGACAAAACCAAAATATCGCTAGATCAGAAAGCGCTAAGTTGGCACACAGTCTACACGTTAATACACGAATAAATTAAGAATAATGAGTCTTAAGAATTTGAGTCCGAGTCGTAGCAGCAACGCGAAAACAATCATTTTTACGAGATTGCCCGGCGATTCGCCCGTGCGCCGGCATGGTCACATATAAGATAGATAGAGACTTATAGGCTTTACTTTATACTTAATGCATGTGATATTTCTTTACTAAAAGTTTATTTGTAAATATAATGTCGAAATAAAATATACAATATTAAAGATATCGCTACAGTGAACTCACTCAACCAACATATAAAGATGTCGAATGTGTCGGAGACAGCATTCAGTAAGCACAATCTTTCTGTTAACGGGTATGTGTGCAACAGACTGGTGTAATTCCCGTATTCTGGCCCTTGATAAGGTAAAATGTGGTTACATGGCGATGTGAACTCAGCTCTATAACGTGTTTTAAAAAGCGAGCGGGCCATCTCGTTAGCTGTTGTTATTTATATGAAAGATGCGGCAACGCTGCCTAATGAGAGTTTTATTTATAAAGTTGCTTTAACAATAGCGACTTTAAAGTTGCATTGTGCCATTGTTACGTTCATTTTAAGTGGGGTTTTGCGGTGCGCTACGTGATTTGGGATAAGACCTTGTTAGTGCTGTGCTTTTCGCTGCTCGCCTCGGTCAAAAGTAATTTTGGATGTTACGCTGTAACTGTATCGCTGACAGGAGACAATTAGTGTATTTACTTTCGCTATCTTAATTTGCATTATGACATATATTGGCCACTTCCATTAGATGCGCAAAGGTCGTTTTCGGATTCACCATAATGTAGTAGTAGTAATGTATTGCGAAGTAAGTTCCTCACCACGCAGTTGCAGACCAAAACACGTACTGATGTTGCCCCTAGTCCGGGAGGTAGCGTTGCAAATGCGAAAGTCATAGTAAGCCGGCTGATATTAACATCGATAGTTGATCTTTTATGACTAATAAGTGAACCGACCGTCAGCTGCTCAAGTAGCGGTGGGTGCGGGTGTAGGAGGCTGCGAAAGAGGTAAAAAAATTAAGTAATAGTACGCTGGCTGAAACTTGTTCCATGAATAGTTGATGTCATATTGAGCAAAACAAAAATCATCAGCTGCATCGTGGAGGGGGGATTATGCGTCAGCTGCCCGCATGCACTTGTGAAAAAAAACGTTAAAAAAAAAAGTTATAATACGCCGAATGAAATTTAACTCCGTGATTCTACAAAAAAATATAGAGTACGAAAACAACAATCAGCTGTTTATGTAGCGGTGGAAAGACCGTCAGCTGACCCAGTCAAGATTTAAAATTTTTTCTATTTTAAAAACTTTCAAACACATATTTTGCGATACATTCTGGCCTTGCTTGAACCCATAGCACGACCTTCGGGCAACCTAAACCTCTCCCCCTAAAATTTCAAAGCAGCATCTGCCTGTCCGTGTGGATCTTTGTCGTACACAATCAGTTTCGGTTCTCCTCGTCGAACGAACGGACCTTGGGAACCGATTTGTGCTCTGCGTTGCCAGGTTTCCATGCCCTCACAGGCTGTGATTTTAATCCCGCATTTTACAAGAAAGAAAAAAAAGCCTTTACAGTTGTTGCGTAAATCACAGGCATATATGCAAGTGTTTGGGGATTTCGCAAATATTCCGAGTCGTGAATTAGACGAGGTCTTCATAACGATTGAAGATTTTTTTGTCGCTTGTACGGGTTTAAATCGATAAACGATGTCAACGCTACACGCGTTGCTACCTTCGCGAAAAATTATCAAATCAATGAGAAAAACGACGTGCTCAAGTGGAAAAGCAGGGCGATCTTCCCACCATGTAAATCCGAGCTACGCCAGCATTTACTGCGCAAGTCATACATAGCGTAACTTTGGAGCCATGCTCACCTTCAAGATCCATCTCAATTATCTCCCACGGACTGGGGCTGGGAAGAAAACGACGACAAATATGTCTTCAAATGGTTCGAAGGAGATCAAGTACCCCTATCAGTCCCAGTATAACGGATACCAGGGACAATATTGGCGGTTTGGAATTTTTGTCGGTGACACTTTCTTTGAGCTTTCTAGTAGCTTAATTTTGATAATTTACATGGTCATTTACAGATGACGGTGAACAGAATCGAGGTCAAGAACTCGATCAAGACGAAGAGAACGATTTCCTGCAGGACAGTTCGGCCGATAATTCGTCAGACAACGATTATGATAGCGATACCATCGACAACGAATAACTTTTGCGAATAACTATTTCTATATTTCGATTTTGTTTATATTACCCTTCATTTTATTTTGCTTTCATTTCATTTTACACTCGATTTTATTTCATCTCGTGCATTTTGTTACGAATAAAGCGAGACAGAAATATATCGAGAAAGCTTCTGTGCATTTATTTATTTTAGAATAATCTTTACCTTTACTGCGTCAGCTGACGGTCTTTCCACCGCTATACACGCAGTTGATTGTTATTTTCGTACTTTGAATTATTTAAACGATCACGTAGTCCAATTTCATCCGGCGTACTATGACTTTATTTCACGTGATTTTATTACAAGTTCATGCGAGCAGCTGACGCATAATCCCCCCTTCACGATGCAGCTGACGATTTTTTTTTGCTCAGTATGACATCAACTATTTACGGAAAAAGTTTCAGGCAGCGTACTATTACTTAATTTTTAATTTTTTTTTACTTCTTTCGCAACCTCCGAATTCCACACCCACCGCAGGTGCGCCAGCTGACGCTTGTTTCAGTTATAAGTATTTCGAGATAAATAGTGAAAGAAGGAAAATAGTCGGCGTAAAATCACTGCCGAAAATGCAACGCTACCTCCCGGACTACCCGGGGAACAAAGCCTTAAACTTTTAATGTTTCTTATTTTTGACTGCTTTGGTTAATGTAACTATAACTGTAACTTATTTCAGAATTATTGCAAAACATTTTATTATGAAAAAACACTAGCATGTATTTATTTTACGGAAATTATTTATTGCAGAATGTACTCGTTGACCTTTATTTTTAACTTCAATTTTACTTTCCTGAAGTAGATAGGAACATCCAAAAATACAACATCCATAGTTTTAGTTTAGATTTTAATGCTACCAATACTTTTATTTTATTTTTTTACATTAACCACCATTTTTTATTTTATTTCACCATCGACATAATATTTCCGCGAAAACAGTGGTAATACGTTATTACGTTCTAGACATTCGTAAAAATGTGCCCTCGTAATGTGCGGTTACTGTATCGTACGTGTTTAAATAGTGAAACAATCGTAAAACGCTTTTGCTCTTCTGCCTAATTAGATAAATTACTGTACGTTTAATATATTTTAAATATTTACACTAAATATGTATTTATGTATATCATTTGATATATATATATTTGTATGTATATGTAATGTTTTTAGTATCTTAGTAATAACAGTATTATACCTTCTATTATGTTTTTTTTTTTAAATGTTGTTTCCCGGGGCAAGCAATATGTTAGTTTGAAAGCCTTCATCCTCAAGTGAGCATAACGTTTCGACATTGTTTAAATAATTTTCTTCTTTTTAGTTTTAGAAATAAATTGTTATTTTTATATTCAAACCAATTTTAAATAAGGTTAAGTGTGGGGTCTTAATGAAATATATTAAATTATAACATTCAGTACTTACGGTTTTATTCCCTAAATTCTTGACTCGACAGTTCAGGTAGGCGGTTTTGCCCAGTAGCGCAGTGACATTCTTTGAGGAGACCAGGTCAAAGTATGGCCCACTCCTCGGTGTGGGCCTGGGTGTCTCCAGTGCACCCCGTATAGCATTGTCAGCCGCAGGTGGCGCGGTAGCTGAGGTATTAGTGCCTTTGCCCAGCTCTCTTTGGGCGGAGGAAACTGAAAAGAACAACGTTCCAATTAAAATTCAGCCTTCGGAAATCAGATTTGGAACAACATATAAGTTATATAGATTACACGAGTTATATGAGCAACGGGTGCTTTACATCGATATTCACTTAAAATCAATCAATCACGATAATTATCGTTTAGTTATTGAGTGTTTAGACTCGCATTTTATCAAAATTAGTGTCATAGCTTATGAAACTAAATTTCTCTTGCACTGGCATTCTAAAATAGATGTCACAATTAAGACTCATTGTTAAAAAAATGTTTGCCTTTAAGGCTTATTTAAAACGATAAATTGAAATCACGTATCGTTGTTATTTTCGACAAGGTCGAGAGTTTGAAGTGACTGAACAAACCTTTATCATAATTCAGAGGAATTGTATGGCGGCTCTTGTGAAAACCGCCATCGCCAGAGACGGTGCTATCATAGCCTTTTACCCTTTTATCTGAATTGACATTTTCGGCCTATTCTTATCGCTCTTAATATTGTATAACATTATTTAATATGCTATTCAAATATTAAGAGGTTCAATGAGATTCTGCTTGTTACTTATGTTTTTGGTTCTTTTGAAGTCTTACTGTATACACGTTTATAGTATAATAAGATTATTTACTTAAAAATTGACTCTTGTATTAATGATAATTCAGTGTCACTTTATGAGTCCTAACCTGACATTGCATCATCCCTTCTCTATTGTTCATCACCGAAGCAGCAACTGTTACGCATATGAAAATATTCTTATTAAGCCATGATTTTAATGCGTCTTGCAAGGTATAAAAACACGTTTAGCCACTAGAATAACACTGCTCGAATGACATGTTGTTTTTTAGCCAACGAGCGTTGTACCTACGTAATTTGATTCGAAATTCCCTTTGACTTTGCATCAATTAATTTATCCAACTGTCAACAAAATTGAAACGCGAATGTATGTCAAGTAGGTCTATTTGCTAATAAATGAGTCGATTTCATTACGGAATGATGGAAACGGGTTAATGACCAACTCGTCAACTGACTAACGAGTGACGCCGTGATACTCGAAACGTAGGCCTTTGTGTCCCCAAGTGCGCCTCTGTTACGTCACTCAACCGAAATGTGCCCTAGATACCCCTGAAATATTGCTACAAATTGTGACGTATTAAAATACGTACGACGCACCCGGCATCACACATTTGCACTCAATATCAAACATTGGCCTTTTAAAAAATATATAAAGGGTTTTTTTATGTAAAATTTACAATAAAAGTTATCCTTAATTTTTAAAGCGTGATAATATAAGAGGTTCACATCAAAATATTTATATTAGAATGAAAAATCTTCTTAACCCAATTGATTATTAATTAGTAATATTCTTCCAAACAATCAATCAATCTTTTAATCGTCACATTTTGTTAGAAGGGCCTAATGAAAACCAAAACACATTTTAAAACATAATTTTGTTCTTTTAATACAATACCAGCCCAACTATATATTTTTAAAGTATTAATAAAAATATAATTCATATATATGACGAAAATTCGTGTCTCTAATAACTGGGTTTTTCTTCAAGTGAATACCTATAATTATAATTCTTAATACACACCTTCGTAGATACCTACCTATCTACAATTATGTGTCGAAGGTAACGTATTTTAATAACGTATAAGGTACGTATTATTTAATACTTATAAATATAAAATAATAGGTTTTGTTACCAACAAAATTACATGATAAAAACCGTGCGTCGTGTGAAGGCCGACTATTATAACATAAACAGCCCCAAAACCTAATATTTGCTCGGGCATCGCGGCGGCCATGCTTTACCAAGGGCTTTTAGCCCACTTACACGAAATATAATATAACTAAAACACTGGTTAAATAATGGAAAACTTTCGTCGCTGTTTTGTTTTAGAAGGTTAATGTGTATAGTGTATGTTGTAAGGCCTATGCGAAGGTATACATGGTGTAAGGCCGGAGAAGAAAATGCTTTATTTAATCATTCATGAATTTCAGCTATTAAACTTGTTATTAGTAATAAATTATTCATGAAACGTAAAATATCTAATGCGTATTTTTAGTGCTAATATACTAATACGTACTCTTTACAAAATCTATAAAAAGTTGTTTCAATATGGCATATGCTAAAAAATATTCAGAATTTGTTTCGGAAACAGCGCTTTGAAAGTATTCCGATAAAAATAAATGAGCTTCCACGAGGTACCTTAAGGAAAGTTTATAAATGGTTGCACTTGCGAAGCGCATGTGTTCGTAAATGTATTATTTAGAAAAGCAAATAAGACGTAAATGTAAAATCCAATATACAAGACGTGTAGAGGAAATAATGTTATGTATTCCATACATATTCTTGGGTGCGGAAACGAATTAGGAAGAAAGCTTACAACAAAGCTGTATCACCTTTTCTATTTCACGTCTTCATAATTATGTGCTTAAAAATGTCTTTATTTCAAAAGGTCAATGTTAAGTAAATATTATCGAGAAAATAGTATTTTTTCTTTTTCATTTTTCTTTTTTTATTATTGTCCCTTTCACTTTTTACATGTTTTAATTGCTTTCCTTTGTTCCATTAGTTTTATCTAAATAATTATATGTCTTATGTAGTTTTAAACTTCTTATCAAATTTTTTCTCACAGTGATTGCCTGGAAGAGATCGCTCGAAAGCGATAAGCCAGTTGACACTATAAATTTGCGTACATGAATAAAACATTTTAAGTGTTATTTACAATATTTAATGATAACTTTTGTCCATTTCATTTAATTTTAACCTTACGAAAAAAACAGTGACAATCGAATTTATGTGTCTACTTACTAAGTTGCCTTTAAAGAGGTTATCATTCTGTGCAGGACACGTGGAGATTAATGGCTCATAAATGTGCTGGTTCGACGAAATGTCCTTACCTCGCAGCAAACATTTTCTATTCTTGAGATAGAAAATCTATCGACGCACCGTTAAAATCTTAACTCATGAAGTCAGGGGTGCAAGCAGGTGCATCAGCCTTATGTGATATCTTAATACACGCTGCGAGTTGGCAAGTTGAACAGTGGTTCGAACGCACGATCTCAGGGTTGACCGTCGCACGCCTAAGCCACTAGGTGACCACTAGGACCTAAGCAACTAACAACGACTGGGCTAACAATGCTCTAGTAAATGTAACTTAAAAGAGCGTTTACTAAAATCGATTCTGGTAAATTCAATGAAGTTCGTTCCTCTGAATACCTTGCAAAAAATGAGGTTAAAGTAAAAAACGATGTCACTAACACACGCAAAGAAAGTTCATCGCGAAAGTGCCCAAGTTTAATGCGTGCTTTTACTCTGCATCTTCATTAGACAAAGAGGTGTGCCCTGCTTTCAAGAAAGGCTAAACGTTTTACCATGTGTCAAGAATGGCAACCGCCTTACATAAAAAGGATCTAAATCTTAGTAAAAAATGGTTTTCACGAACCATCTTCATATAATACTGATCAAACCGACACAAGTTTCTGTAGAATGGAGCATTATCATATTGAGATAGATGATAACTCGAAAATCCTTTACGGTATTTGAAACAATATATGTGTATCTCTAGATGGGAGATTGTTATAAACAATAATGTCGGATGAAAAGCTCTCTGAAAAGCTCGTTTTCAATTAATACTTTACGAAAATAATCTGCGATTGAAAATAAACTGAACCAGTTGCAAAGACCTGAAAATCACAATGACTTGAAGCAGTGTTGTATTATGTTTATTTACGAAGAATCAATTAAAATGTCTTCGATTTCGACTGCGGATGAACATAAGAAATCTTCCATTAAGTTCCAAATACGAAGTGCTCATTGAAAATAAATTTTCTCTCGTCTTTTGAAACAAGCAATGTTTGTGACCGATTTTAACCTCATTTTAGAAATGTCATGCTGATGAATAAAATATTGTCCAGTTTTTCAATTTCCTTTGAGGGGTTTCTTTTCAAGTGTTGATAGCTAAGATAAATGAGAATAAAATATTTATTTAGTTAAAAAATTATTTCTTGTATCAATGTTATGTGACTGTGGTTAATATGTTTTTGGTAAATAATTATGAGTTCAACATTTTACATGAATATGTTTTGAAAGTGACAGTAGTACTTATGGTACGTAACTTGGCTTGACGTATCTGTCAGTTTGGTTTTCTTCCTTATAGTCTTTTTTTATGTACATGTACATAAAGACAAAACAGTTCTTTATCTAAAATCATGATGTTAAGACTAAGTTTGTTTTTCCGATACTGTCCACTTACAGTATGAACATGTAGAATTTTTGGTTAAAAATATGTATTTTAATTGAAAGAAATCATCTACATACAGTTTGAGATGACCTCTCACCATTCCCATCCGTGCATTAACACTAGGGAGTACACCCTCGGATGGTCTAAGGCCCCAAATCGTCACGAACGATAATGATGGCGGTAAAGAGGTGATGGTTGGCTACAGAACCTTCGTAGGTCAACCTAGGACTATCTAACTTGGGACTAATGGTACGGCTTGTGAATATTATATACCCTTATCCTTGCAGAGACCGAACAGGATAAGTTTAGGAGGATAAATGATTTTTAATATTTAACTTTTAGCGAGTCAATGGTCCAATGTAATTCGAATCACATACATGCTTGCATCAGCTAGTACACCGTTCAAAAATATGATCTAAGTATCAAGAAACTCAGTTATGACAATATTTATTTAAATAATATTTCAATAATAGTGGCCTAAGTTAAAATGCTCTGTATTATACAGCATATACTTAAACAATGCATCATTATTATGTAAAATCCACCGGGTGACTGGATTAGCGGTAATCTAACTTCTTCAGCTTATTATAACTTTACCTGTTTCGTATTCTGAACACAATATTAAAGGAATCATGAATAATTTTCCGGGATATGTTTTATTATATACAATAACCATATTATTTACTAAGACGGAAATTTAGAGACACATACAAAAGTAATTATGTAACTACTAAGAAATAAATTAACGAACAGTGTTATATCAGTGCCGTTAACACAAAATAAGAAAAATATAATATTCAACGTGATAATAAAGTATATTGTATAAAAATCTTGAACAACGCTCCGTGGTCGTTCTTGGTACTTAATGGAAGCATAAACATTTCGTTCGTGTAGTACAAAGATAGAAAATCGTGTTTGAGCTATAAAGTAGCCAGTCTCTATATTTAGTAGTTATCGGGACATTCTCTGATTAGTTGGGTGGAAGAATCCTGGACACCACAAGGTCACTCCAAGAAGCCTGAGTCGCCCCAGAAGGGGTCTGAGCTTTTGAAATGAGCTGGGTTATTAAGCCAAAGCTAATTATTACCAGCAAAATCCACACTTTAAATGATTTCTTCGTCATAACCAATATCGGGTACGAAAAAGATTCTTATGTTAACACGCTTCTATTTTTAAATTGATGTACTAATAGCGAATTTAGAATTTCAGAAGACTTCTATATGAAGTTTTACACAAATCTTCGTTGCAAATGCGCTATTTATTTTATTTATTATTGTATTTGAAATGCCATTTTAAATATATCAGTGAGCAATAACGTTGAAATTACAGTTAAATTTTATCACAGCTAATAGAATTAATCACTGACTCGATAACTGTGATATTGTATGAATGAAATTATTTAACGGATATACAGATTTTATTTATCAGTTAAATGCTACATTTATGAATTATTTAGATTTTATCAA